ACATTAGTCAATATATTAATTTTGTTGAAAGATGACATATTGCAGCACTCCCTCCAGCAGCAGTAGAAAATAACATAACTTAGTTGTTATTATTTTTCATGTATGGTTGGATTAAATTATACATTATTGTAACTGAATATTAAGAACCAGTACTTCAAAACTATTGCAATTTTTTTTTTCAAAATGAAGATACTATATTTTACTGACTTACCATCAACAGCTACTTGAATCTTTTGACTGGCAGCTATTGTCCCATTTCCACGGACATTGACTTTTAGAATATAATTGCCCTCATCACTGAGATGCAACGGATTGATCATCAGAGATGCATTCGGTGGTATGAGGGTAAACTTGTGCTGGTATTCCAAGTCTGGAACTACAGTTTGATTTACAGAGCCAAGCAAGTATTTTGGATTACTTTGAGGCCTCTCAAAAAGCCAAATTATCTGGATTTCAGAAGCTGTAGCGTTGAAATTGTAGTCAACAGTAAGATGGAGTGGTTGCCCCTCAATGCCATGGATGGTATGAGATGGTACTGTCAACTTTAAGGCAGAACAAATACCTGCATAAAAATGAAAGAACAAACAAATAAACAAACCCAAAACACAAATGGAAACCCTGGAAAACTCAAATGAGAAGTTCTCACAGAGAAAAAACTCTCAAGGTTAAAGCTTACACTTTTTTGTATGGTTATAACTCAGATTTCACATAAGAAAGGGGCAAACACTCGGTGAAGTTGGATCTAGCTACAGAGCTCCAGCTTTAAAATATATGAAAAGCCAAAGGAAGGATATTTGCAATTTCTGGGCAGAGGATCTTTTATTGTTGAAAGTTTGACAAAAAATGAGAAAATGTGCATTTACCTTAATGTTTAAAATATTTTCCCTTTAAAATACTCCCAATTTCTAAGTCTTATACCGTCTAACAGTCTTGGATTGCAAACTCAATTTTTAGGATTTTTTTTCTGGGTTGGTTTAGCTAGGGAGAAATTTCTTAGTGTTACTTTGCCAGTTATACTGAGAAACTGACTGAAAATCTAACAAGCAGCACTTCCATGAATTTGTCTGATTAAAATTATACATAGTTACTATTGCTGACTGCTCTGTACACGTAAGACTAAATTCAAGAAACATTACTAAGCTTGCAAAAGTCAAGTATTCCAATTTTAGGAAAGAGCAGAATTAAGGTTTGCTTTTGATATGCACAAAAGCAAAATTTTCAGCCACATGGTTAATCCTGTTCTCCAAGAATCCGGCCTCCATTAGGGTGCAAAAAGGCCACTCCTCAGTTAATCATCGGCTTTCCATATATTATTTCTGAATCATTTTTCATTGTGTAGGCCTGAGACAGATTTATAGAACATTATTAAAACTTTACTCTTAGGACTGAGTGATCGATTTCCACGTGAACTTTTCCACAGCACTCACAAGTACAGCAATGGTGTAAAGCGTTGACATAAATGAATTGATTTCACAACACCATTATAATTGATACAACTTTACAGATGAGGAATTTAAGCCCAGAGAAAATTAACAGCAAAAATACCCACTCATTTTGGATGATCAATTTGAAATATTAAGGACTGTATTTTTCAAAATACATATAAACAGATTTCAGTATGTTCAAGATGCAACTCCTATTGACTTCAGTTGCAGGTCCGATTGCTCAGCTTTGAGTGCTCAGTATTGCTGAAAAGCACACTGCGAGTGCTAAGTCAAAACCCTAGAAAAAAAACAACCTTTTATTAGTAAGAACATGTAAAAACCATGATATAAGTAATCTGTCTACCACTGCATAAGAGTGCGCTGGAAACAGAGAGAGAGAATGCACTGCCCAGGGCAACATGCAATGTTTTCACCATGAACCATCCATTCTTTTCCTGCTATTAAACATCTTTGGTTGGACCAGATGATCCTTGAGGTCCCTTCCAACCTGGTATTCTATGATTCTTGACATGCTTCTCAATACCTGTAACAAGAAAGTAAGTCCTCAGCTGAAGTACATATACCCTCTACCTGGAAAGGGGGGGCACAGGGAGCTATGTGTGAAAAACATGACTGTGCTATTAAAGATTAATATAATGCAGAGGTAACTTTGTTTCTTAAATTTCCTACCTTCATAGCATTTGTCTTTATGACAAAAAGAAATTGTTAAAGGTTCATTTGTGTCTAATTTCCTAGGATATATAGCAGGAAAAGATAAAAATATCAATTCAGTAGCATAATATGGTAGCCGTATATTTATTTTGGGTTAGAATCTTCGAATTTCACTACACAGCTGTTTGCCGCTTAAGCCTATCGCAAAGAAAACTGTCACTGGGGATCAGGGTAGGGACACACAAAGCGGGTAAGGGTAACAGATGCAGCATGGCAATATGTAATGACAGTAATGAATGTTAGAGGTACTCCAGAAGGGCAGGAAAAGGGGAGGTTTAGATTGGATGCAAGGAAAAATTTCTTTACTGAAAGAGTGGTGAAACATTGGAAGAGGCTGCCCAGGGGAGTGGTGGAGTCCCCCTCCCTGGAAGTATTTAAAAGACGAGTAGATGTGGCACTTAGGGACATGGTTTAGCGGACATGGTGGTGTTGGGTTGATGGTTGGACTCGATGATCTTAGAGGTCTTTTCCAACCTCAATGATTCTATGATTCTATGAAAAGTAGCAGAGCAGAGAGGCTGTGGGAGGGGACTGGCTCGTGGGTAGCCAGCAATGTTGTCCGTGCCGCTGAAGGCACCCACAAAACCATCTGTGAGATACTATGTATTTCAGGAAAAACCCCTATTGCTAAGAGATCTCTGGTCATATTCTGTCCATTCAGGAACTAGTGAGTTTTACAGTCAACACAAAGTCTACCCAAAAAAAGTAATTTTGTGGCTGGCTTCACTTTTCATAAAGCTGAGCAATACCATACTCAACTAGACAAGACAGCTCACAGCATTTCTGAGGGTATGGCAGGGAAACCAAAGGAAAATGTGGCAGAACACTATAGGGGTGATGTGTATAAAGACGTTGAAATCCTTTGACTGAAAGACTGGCAAACCCACCTTCTCAGGGGCTAAAGAGGAAGTGGGCAGAGGACTTCAGGTTGCATGGACACTGATATGGAATGGACAGTTGGGGTCCGCTGAGACAGGAGGAGAATGGGACAAAAAAGGAGGAAAAGCGTAGGGAAAATTGTGGAGAAGCTTAAGTGGAGGATACACAGGACAGAGATGTTTACATGCTTAACTTTTTCTAGATCAAAAACCTGAAATGGCTGAAGCACATCAAATTGAAGCCTCCTCCCCTACTCCTTTTTAATAATATTTGTGTCCTGTTGTTCTTGCACAGTTTTCTAACTCTGCGCAACTCTTAGGGACTTGCTAGACTCTGGTTAATGGGAGATTAGATTTGTTGGTTGTTGTAACATTTCTCAGAAGCTAATTCCTTCCCTGTGAACCTTACAATACAAATCAGATTTAAACTGCTGTTGTCCATTTGAAAAAGAGCGTAATTCCTCAGTAAAATCCTTCACAAAATATTTAATGTTGGAAATATATTTCCTATAACCCATCAAATACATTTCAATTTTTAAATCTCCTTGAATGAAGTCAAAAACATCTGTCAAACACTGGGAGATATGTAAATGATCAATTAAAAGATCTGTCCATATCCTTCCTCATTCTTTAGGCATGACATTGCTCAATTTTTGAGTTTATTTAGCTGTCAATAAGCGATTGTGCTGTAGGACAAGAAGCCAGTCACAGCTGCAGTGTAATTGTAAAATATGTATAACAAATAAATTTCTGACAGATCTGTTTGTGCAGAAAATTAGCAAAAACCAAGCAGGTCTAGTGAGCAGTAGAGTAACTGGGACCACCAGTATAGAAGGTACCACCGTAATACAGTAAGATAGTGAGAATTGTGGCTGGAAAACTTAATTTCTTCTCAGTTAAAAAATGTGGGAATAGAAACTGTAAATTAACTTTGTTCCATTGATTCATGGGGAAAAGTGGCTCTGTGTAACAGGTTGGAAAGACATTTTGATCTGCAGTTAAGGAAATTCTTTTAGCAAAGACCAGAGGTGGTGAGGGCAGAAACCCCGTTTTCCCCTGCAGTCTGTTCAGGAGTGACTTTGGGTGACTGCAGTTTTTGCTGCTCCCTCTGGGTCTGCTGGGGTGATTTTGTGGAGTGCCATCAGCACGTGGGAGCTCCTCTGCGGCCAGCAGGGCGAGGGGCAAGGCAGGCTGAGGCTCGGAGAAGCTATAAGATAATGGTGCTCTGCCGAAGGCAAGGGCTTTATGGGAGCAATGCTGGGAGACTTCTGGCTTTGAGAGAGATCAAATCTTTTGCAGTCTGGAATATTCTTTGCTGAAAGGGTTATTCTTCAGTGAAAGGGTTATCTTCTTCACCAAAAGGGTTATTTCTTCACCAAAAGGGTTGTCAAGCATTGGAACAGGCTGCCCAGGGAAGTGGTGGAGTCACCATCCCTGGAGGTATTTAAAAGATGCGTAGATGTGGCATTTAGGGACATGGTTTAGTGGTGGACTTGGCAGTGTTAGGTTTATGGTTGGACTTGATGATCTTGAGGATCTTTTCCACCCTAAATGGTTCCATGATTCTATTCTATTAGACTAATTTTGATTTTTAATTAAAACTGAAGACTCTCATGACTAATCCTTGAATTAATGTTAATAGTGAAATCAAGCCAATGTGCCAAACTCTTACTTCATTCTCATCAGGCACAAATTCCATATAATTTAAACCTTTCTCTATAGCTTTCTAAATATAATACACATTTTTCCAAGACAATGGAATTCCGAAACTAGTTTTTGTATAATGACCGTAAGGGTTGTACCAAAACGACCTCCATTTGGAGCTCAGTGATCTGTGCTTTGCTTCCATCTCACTTTGCTATCACCAGTATTAGCAAGCACAACAGAATCGTTGTTGACATAAAACAAGGGCTGCAGCTTTAGTTTAAATAAAAAACTATGACATAACTTTTGAGTTTATGGAATAAACTGAAACCTGCTCAGCGAGGTTGTACGATTCTCTGAATTTAACATGCACATCTCCTTGTCAAAGTGAGTTTGGATTCTCAACTGCTTTTCACCAGAGCGCTCAGTTAGCTTTTCAGCTCTCCAAAAACCCTGAACTTGGTGTAAAATGTCACTAGATTAGTGATAATAGTTTTTACACTTTTTGCAAATATGTTCATTTATGGAAAAAAACAGATAGAATGTACCGGGGAATCTGCAATTCCTATACCCCCATTTATATCAGTAGAGACTCGGGCATACTCTTCCCCAGTTTGGGATTTTTGCCCAAGAACAAGTTATTGGACCTCATTTTAGCTTCTGAGGTCAATGTCTTCAGTGGGCTTTGTGTCATGTCCCCAGTGCACGCAATTCTTGTCATGATATAAGGTACAAGCTGCAAATTTCCCATACTAGGAAACGTGTATATCTGAGGAAGGATATACGATGAGACTTCCTGGTGAACAAACGTGTACTGTAAAGCACTCTGCTTGCATACCAGTATCTCTTGTAGGATTTTAATAAAAAATGTCCAATAAAGTTGTTATGTAGATAAAGTACATATTCACTGTGTTTTTTATCAACCAGGGTTTTCATTTTTAAAGAAGAAATCCAATAATCTTCATATAAAACTGCAATTGTTACGAAGCCAACACTCTTGACAAAGTATTTAGCTCAAAATCAAGGCAAGTAGGTGACTGTATATGAAGCTCACAAAGAAGATAAAAGAAAAACTGTCCTTACACATGAATGAGTAGAGAATGCACTACATTTGTAATATTATATATTCCCTCTGTTGGTATTTACAAACACAATTAAATACAGAAGAAGTGAACTACAAGAGTTTGTAGAAATATAAGTTTATCTAACATTTGATCACAGGATATTCCTGTCAAAGTGCATAGAACATCTATTTTTTATCAAGTGCATGGGTAACAGATGTATGCTTATGAAAACTGCACCCAGATACCAAACAAATGCACTATTAATGGGAAGACATTCTTCAGTTGATTGAAAGCTTAATTTAGTTTTAATACCAAGTACATTTGACTATTACATATAAATTTTCCCTATTAACTGTAAGGCATCATAATGAACTGAAAGATAATGCATCCGCAGTGTCTCAACATAATGCATTTTTAAAGAGATGGTTCAGAACCTGTCCAGCCTTACTTGTTAAAAAGAATGCATAATGTATATATTAATAAAGAAAATGTGACAATATATATGTAATCAATGCCCGTGTTTTATATACAGATTACATATAGCACTAATTTTTGTCAGTTGCTAAAAGTTTATAGCTCCACTCATAAAACAAGGTGACACTATCTGATTAAAAGTTTTTAGGCTACTTTCCTGAAATAAAAATGTCTGACAATACAACAGAAATATCTTTAAATTTAGGAGTATAAAACCCACATTTCCACAGCGACAATCAAATATAATTCATACTGTTTCTTACCTACAAGCAGAAAATATATTTTGCACTGTAAGTCCCAAAAGAAGTTGGCTAAAGGGCTCCATGAAAGCATCCTGTCCACACAAATCCCACCTTTTTCTCAGCGCTAAGCCAGGGCTTGGACCTGCAGCTGCTGGTTTATTTGCCAGGGAAATCAGCAACGAGTTAACAGGCCCTATCCTGTCCCCTGCCTTATGTGATTTGAATATGTGTATACAAAGAACAAAGGGAGTGGAGCACCTGTTAGATGAGCACCCATCTTCATTGCCTCTGACTTTATCGTAACCCTTCCCCGGCAGTTACAGCAAATATGACACAGAATGTAATAAATGGGGCGCAGAATACAAAGTACGTTCAATTAATAAAAATAAGTGAACGCACCCAATGTACAGGTTATATAGGTATTAACATCCTTTAGCTACAGTTTCATAAAAAATACTGTGCTGCTAGATGGGTCTGCTTATTTCAAAGTAGTATTCAGAAGATTTTTTTTTCAGATCTTTTCCAGTGATAGCCTCTCCTTTTCTGTTACAAAAAATACTAAAGTGAGCAAGAGCCTTGCTTAAATTTTTTTCTAGCACTTTCGATCCCGTATCTGTGTGTTTTTCCTTAACATAAGGATAACCTGGCGATGATTTTGTTCCCTTTCTCTAAACAACATGTAATGTGAAGTGTCTATCAGGCATCTTCTAACAAAGAACCCTGTGGCTAGAGTGGACAGCTTACTACAGTTGTTGAGTTAGCTGCTGATTACTGTTTATTCCGCATTAACTTACATGAGTTTAATTAATACTAATATTAATGTATGATTTGGATTTTGTCCAAGGCTGTCACTCACTGTACAAATCTAATCAGCAGCAAACCAGCCAACCCTCCCGCAGTTGCATGTGCAGTAACAGTTTGTAACAGCCAATATTTGCAACAGGGATGGTTTATCCATAGAAAAACACACTAAGTTTTCACTATACAACACTTACTTAGGCAGACTATTATGGATTAACAAATATTAGGCTAGACTGTATCCTGCCCTGTGCAAGGAGGGACTGGTAGCAAAGAATTGCCTCCCCCTCACTGCAAGGGTCCTGCAAGTGCTAAGCCCCCACCAGAAGGGCTGAACACTCAATTTTTACTTAAGGGAGGTGAAAATACCCAGATCCTTCCAGAATTCTTAGCAGTTCTGTATAATCAAATGTAAGAAACATGAGGGTTAATTCAGGTTAACAAAATTGTAAGTACAGTGGTCCCACCAGAAATAATGTCACCACCTGACATGAGCCAGTAGATGAAGAGGGTATTTTGCATATCCTCAAAGGCTTCCCAGGTCCACTGTCCTGCCCCTCCTGAATGTTGCCGTTTATAACCTGCTTAGTCCACTTGACTGTAGGCTAGATATATCAAATTGCAACCTTTTATAAAACCTGAGTTAGAAATTATGATCTACTTGGTTTCAACATGTAATAAAATCTTGGTCATGGGTTCCAATTAATTTCTAACTGAAATGAATGGGAGCTTTCACATCAGGATGAAGTCTGTGTTGGTGTTTTAAATGCCCTATAAGGGCAAAGAAAATAAAAAAAAAAGAACAGATTAGCAAAGTTATATTTTTCAAGTGCGTCCCCTTATTTCCAGCATTTGGATATGCTCTTGATGTCATTAATATGCTGCAATTTTTTACACTAAGTTACACAAATAAAGTGAATGCTAAAGAAGTGCATTATTTTTTTCTATAGAATTCTAGCTTGTGCTGGTTGTTAAATGGCATTTAGACTTAATCAAACCTCACTCATTTCTTTTTAATAAAAGCAACTACATTAAAGCAACTTTATTTGTAGCAGTAACATTCTGAATACTTTGAGTATTTCTGCAAATTTTAGTTATTACTAAAAAGTAACTTCGTTATGTGCTAAACGTGTTAGAGGTTTTCCACAGAAATAACTAAGGATTATATTCCCAGTGGTAGCCAAAAGTAAAGAATTCTTGCTAAAGAATGCAGAGAGGGGATGACCAGTCCCGGCCTTCCCTTCATCACTGTGTTGGTTCAAAAGGAAAGCAGCACGCCCGCTTTTACCTGACATACCCTGCAACAAGTTATCGGCCAGCTGGGGGGCTAAATAACGGGATTAGGAAACGCGTGCTGAGCTGACCGATGTGCAGACTCCAGTAATTCCAAAGGGAAAGACCACCTTTTCTGCAGGTATTGCTATGCTGCAGTGGATGTGTTGGTAGCCTTATTATTGAATGTTGTCTCCAGTTAAGCAAAGATTATAGCATAAATTATTCCTTTTTTTGTATTGATGTAAAATAGATTTTTTAAAAGTTATCAGCTTTTTTTTTTTAGTTGAGATCTATACAACCGAAGTATAGAGACACGCAAGCCCATTTGGCGATGCAAAACTGCATCATCTGCGAACAGGCCCGATGCCCTTGTGCGCAACACCCAAAATAACCCGATGCAAACAGAAAATGCTCATTATCCAAGCGTATTTTCTAGCTAGTCTGTCTCAGAGCCTCGTTTTGCCTTCTCAGAGAATTGCCTTCAAAGTCTAAACAAGCGAACTTCAATGTTCAAATACTCTATAAACATCCCCCAAACCCCAGAGAAACCCTCGGCCTGCTGGGCCACCAGTGCCGGTCGAGGCGTTCGTGGATATAAACGTAAGGAAGCGGCCAAGGCACAGCACGGGTTTTGGCGACACGAGTTTAGCCGTGCTTTCAAAGAGCAGGCTGCCAAACTACGAGCTCCTTCCACTGCTCTGGAGGGGTGCCAGAGCCGCACCGGAGCCACCGTCCAGCCGGCCGGAGCCTTTCCTCCGCCGCGGCCCAGTTCCGCCTCGCTGGG